TGCATTTCTTTTCAGTAAATATGAAAACATATGAATATTGTATGTGTGCCAAGCGCAGTTACCGGATGGCACACTGAATATTTCTCCGTAGTGATTTACTGCTGTGCTGTGAATAGCATGTGAGGGAGAATGTAGGAGCATAAAGTAGTATGTACAGGACAAATTAATATTGGATGGAAATGTGTGTGCCAGTTACGGTATTTATACCCCATCTACAGTCTGGGGACATCAAATGAGGACCTTGATGATTCTTGACATACATTGTCAGAAAAGAAAACAGAGAAGAGTTCCCTTCAAATGCATTATTGATCAGCCTGCAGTTGATTTGGGACTTTCTTAGAGTTTCTGTAAGAATCTCATAAAATAGAACTGGAACTACCATCTCTGGGATGGTGTTAACCATTGGAAAGCAGCAACTATGACTTTTTTGCATCTTCTCAGAAACCAGTACAGAATAAAATACTTCTATTTTGGAGGTGGAGGATTACCAATAGAGCACCGCTGTTCTAAGGTATTCACCCAAAGAGTGATTTGATGTAAGTAGATATATAATTAAAGTCCCATAAAACAATCAGGTACACATCAGCATTACACTGGATCTAAATTTAAAAAACTACCGCACCTATAGTGTGACCAACAACCTAGGCAGCCTAAAGCATTGTGGGTGTTTCAGGGTATTAGAAACTGCAAGGAGTTTGCTGTGTTCAATTATGTAGACCTTTCCTGCTAGACTTGCATGAAGATAAGTGGTTCAGCAATGCTCATCACTGCAGCACTACTAAGCTGAAAGCAGAGCCTGTATATTCAATGAGAGAATCTGGCTGCACCCATGAACTGATATAATTCCAAAATATACAAAAACAAGAAGCTATTCACGAAGAGACATGCAGATTTTAAAGAAAGAGGCTGACTAGAGGAACACCGGCAGGAACAGCAATGAGCTGCAAATTGTGTTTAGGGCCAGAAGAGACACAAAGTACAGACTTTTTTTATCTTCAGTGGGATAAAGTGTTTATGCCAGATGTGGGAAGGATGTGCCAGGGAGACATACAATGACACTGCCAGGGAAGAAGTGCCTGATGGAGCCAGACACCTACAAGCGTAGCCATAGCTATTAGAGCGTAATGTTAATGACAAAATGTATTGGCTGCTATATTTCACACAGAGGAAAAGTCACAAGTGTATTACAGAGCCTTTATAGGAGAGCTTGTAGAAGCAGCATACAAACAAGATGCTTTGAGGTAGTAAAATGTTAAAGAGACGCCGTCACTTTGTCTATTCAGAGCAATGTGACAGTGTCTGTGAATGGCAACCCACTACCACCACCACAACAACGACCTCTGATACTAACTTTTCCAATGATCTCTTGCTACTCCTTTCTCCATTGCAGCCGGCACCTAAATACCTGGTGTTGACTAGTGCCTGACTCTTGTGGGAAGTCACCCCTCCTGTAATATGACAGTGCTTGGGCATAACAGTTGGCCACTAGACCTGAGCACTGTCACATGAGAGTAAGTCAGATGCTCCCCAAAGCCAGGAGGCACTGTGCATTTTGTGCCAGCTGGGCTATATGGAGGGGCAGCAGGGTATAACTGGAGAGGAC